TCTTGGTGTATTTTTGGGAGAGGGTGACTTACGAGCGTCCTTCTACTCCGCCATCTTGCCCGGAAGTCGATTTTTATATTTTTAAATCTTTGACAAATATATATTTGAGAATAATATTTGGTAGCTTTTGGAAATGGTATGAAATTCTAATTTCAGTGTCCATAAACACACTTTTACTGGAATGCAGATGTGCCCATTTTTTTTTTTACTACTTTTGTAAGCTAAGTTTTATTGGTGTCCATGCATCCACTGGTATGTCGTCTATTTCTGTTTTCCACAATAGAAATGGCAGAGATGAGTAGCGTCTTCCCTCAGTATCCACAGTGGATTGGTCCCAGGACACCTTCCCCAACACCCAGATCCATGGATGCCCTAGTCCTGTACAGACAATGACCCAGGACAGTAGGCTAGGCTTCCTGGTCGCATCCGCGGGTTCTGTATCCATGGTTCCATGTTCGCAGATTATGCATCTGTGGGTTCAGGGAACCACAGAGGTTGAATCCACACATGCGGAACTCATGGATAAGGTGGGGCCACTGTAAATGCCACAGAGCCTGCATGGCTTGCAAAGCCTAAAATATCGACCCCCTGGCCCTTTACAGCAAAAGTTTGCCAACCTCTGTTCTAGACAGAAAAACTGAGGTCCTGGAGATGTGAAGCATCTGGTTTAAACTCACACAGCTTTTTGGAGGCAGCATCATAATTCTAACCTAGATCTTTTAACTCTTCTAACACCTTTGAGTATGATTTTTCCCTATATTTTTGCCCCCTTGAAGTCATAATTTCTACTTGTAAGTACTTATATTGTCTTTTAATCATCAAAACTGCCTGTAAGATAGATACCATAATTATTCCTCATATTTGGGGAAATTGAGGCACAGATTAGTTAAGTAACTTTATGGAGGTCCCACACCAGCAAGAGGCAGAGCCTGGCTCTAGGCAGCCTGGCTCTTAAACACTCACACTGTTCTGTCTTTTTCAATGAGAGAAACGCAAAGCCTAGGAAAGAGAACCCACTCAGTGGTGATACTTCTAATCTTGCTCAGGTCGCTCTCAAGCTTTAATGGCAAAAAGGATAGAAAGTTGATCATTCTGTTCTCTTAAGCCTGAAAGTCAACTTGACTCCCAATCACCTTTAAAATGAAAGACCCTGACAGTGTCTGATCAGAAGTACTTGGAGGAGGGCCTACCCTGTTTTTGTTTTGGAGCTTCCGTCCTTGTTTGGTGATCTTTCAAGTTTGGGAGCGGATGACAACACCGCTGCAAGTAAGGAGTGCAAAGTCCTTGGGACTGTGGGAAATCTTAGCGGCGGTGTGGCTGGGGTCAGGGGCAGAGGAAGAGACCACCGCAAAGAACAGTGGCCTGAGACCAGCTCACAGGATGCGACAGGTCCTCCGGCTGCTTTCTTGGCATTCCGCTCGCAGTCCCCTGAGCCAATGGGAAGAATCCAGTCCCCTGAATCTGTACAGCTTTCTTGTGGTGCGTGTCATAAAAAGTTTGCCTGCCATCCATCGGACCAAGGAAATCTGCTAAGTTCTTGTACTCATTTGCTTAAGGATCTATTCACTTTTGTTTGTTTCAAACAGATGTATAAGTGCTTTATAGAACAGCAGGGTTAAGAATAACTTTGGGGCTTTTGTGTCACTGACAGAAGAAACGTCTGACATGTAGGAATTGTTTGTGGGGATGGAGTTGGGAGGGATGGACAGAAGAGAGGCGACTGAGTGGCAGAAAAAGAAAAGTTATCTGTCTCCGAGGAGACCCTTCCCCTGCCTCTGCCACTGTCAGGAAGCTATGCCTTGGATGTCCGCTGGACCTTCAGATTGGGATAGGGTGAGGCAGGAGTTGGTAAACTATGGCCTGAGGGCCAAATCCAGGCTGCTGTCTGGTTTTGTAAATAAAGTTTTATTGGCACACAGCCATGTCCATTTGTTTTCTGTTTTTGTAAATAAAGTTGGAGCCCATCCATTCAAATATATCTTGTCCAAGGCTGCTTTTGTGCTATAATGGCCGAGATGAGTGGTTCTGACAGTGACTGTAACAGCTCATTTAGTGTAAAACATTTATTATCTGATCCTTTATAGGAAAAAATAAAAACTGACCAATGGTTATAAGGGAAGACTGACTATTTCACTATCATGGAAAATTTCTTTTTGGAGACCACAGGTTGCATTCGTCACATAGCAGTGGAGAGCTAACTTTAAAGTATCGATGAAAATGTCTTTTAAACCATTCTCTGGATGCTTCACGCAAACATTAGCATTTCTTATTTAAATGTATGAACCATTGAGTTACCACCACAGCACAGCCTGGGAATGGGTATTTTTAAAAGGCATGAACCCAGTAATGAGGCAAATTTGGGAAATGCCAGCCTGGCACATACCAAGTCTTCCCAAAATGCTTCTTGAATTGTATCAAGAAATTGAGATCACATTAATGTGACAACAATCTGTACCATGAGCTGCTGTGCATTTTGTAGACTATAATTTAGAATCAAATCAAGGGTTCATTAGTTGAAAAACTCCTCAAATTCCATTGAAAATAACTTTCCATGTAACAGTAAAAATCCATTTACTGTTGAAAGGGGAAAACAAAAACTTACACACATTGCTTCTCTACGGAGACATACTGCTAACTGTTAACTGTTAATATTTTGATGTGCATACGCTATTCTTTCTGGACTGAATTAGTATAATTCTATTGAATTCTTAAAATACCATGTAGTTATTTTGGGTTACACTTGTGGGAAGGGATTTCACTTGGGTTTCAGATTTGTTGCTGTCTTGGAAGTGTTTAGATAAAGAGCCAAGAAATGCATCATTGCTCCCATGGGAACAGAAGAACTGGTGAATATTATTATTTAAAGCCTTGAATTTATATGATCAGGCTTGACCAGAGCACATTTAGATATTCAGATGTATTCTTTTTGCTATTTTCTTGTTGTCAGCTTGTCCTTTACAAATCCTTTCCTTTGTAGCTCTTCACCAACTGGGCATCACCACACCACTGCTGATGTCATAGGATGCAGCTGACACTATGGGCAGTCCCAAGGATTGCTTTGAAGATACTGGGGAATTCTCTGGATAAAGATCTATGCTGCGTCTGTCAGGTGCTTTTTGATAATATCACAAGAAGCAATATTTCCATTGTGTTTAGTGTGTAATTGCCTTTTTCTATTTCTGGGTGGTTTGCCAAGGGCTTGGATGACCAGAGCAGAGCAGAAAGGTGCTCCTTCATTTGAGGTCTTTCCATTCAGGGTCAGTTTCACTGGAATCCAGATGCTTCCAGTCACTAATTCCCTTGGCAATGTCACTACCAGCTTTTCTGAAGGCACACCTAGGGGCTGATTTGGGAGCCAGTGCAGAATCTGTATCTACTTTCGCATCCATACACACGAGATCCACAACTTTGATTTCCTTGGGGTTGAACTTAGGCGTCACGATAAATATGTCTGGTGTCGGATGAACCTGGATGCTAGACCATGAAGAAGGTTGTACCTTTGTCTCCTTCAAGCCAAAAGTTGAAGGCCAGACTAGTTCTTTCATTGCCAATAAAACAACTCAGCTTGGTCTCTCATACAGAGTGCATCCTGGTAGAGCAGAAATAGCATGGACTGAAAATTAGAAAGCCTGGATCTTATTTGGGTCATTATTCCATAATGATCATTTATCATTGAGGCTATTTCTTAAGTTGTCTGAGTCTCAGTTTGCTCATCTGTTAAATAGGGATGACAGTATTGACTGTAATTATTTCATAGGATTATTGGGAAGATGAAGATGAGATAGTGGATGAGACTCTTTGGATAAATTTTAATGCAATATGTAAGATGATATTATTAACCCTAAACTAACATCACAACAGTAATAATAATTCCTGGAAAGATTTGCAGTTAGAAGTGCAAATAGGTTTATATATTAATGCTTTAATCGTCCAAATCTGTGTCCCTTATTGCTGTGGATATAACAAATTAGCCTTTTATTCAAGGAGATCTGCCAAGTCCTTTTACTTATTTACTTAACATTTTTGGAGCAGTTTAAGGTTTACATAAAAAAAAATGAGTGAAAAGCACAAAATTCCCGTATACCCCTCCCCCCACACTTCTCCTCCCCTAATTTCCCCAAGTATTAAAATTCTGTATTACTGTGGTACATTTGTTACAGCTGATGAGTCAATATAGACACATTATTATTTACTAAAGTCTACAGTTTGTATTATAACTCTTGGTGTTGTACATTTTATGGGTTTTGACAAATGTATAATGCCATATATCCACCATTCTAGAGGCATACAGAAAAGCTTCATTTCCCTAAAAATCCATGCTCCACTTATTCATCCCTCTCTTACTTTCCATCAGTCTTTCCACCTCCCTGAAAGCTATTGATTATTTTTTTACTGTCTCCCTAATTGTTCCTTTTCCAGAATGTCATATAGCTGGAATCATGCAGTATGTAGCCTTTTCAGATTACTTCTTTCACTTAATAATATGCACCTAAGTTCCCTCCATGTCTGTTTGTGGCTTGACAGCTCATTTCATTTAGTCACTGAATAATATTTCATTGTCTGGAGGTGCCACAGTTTGTTTATCTGTTCACCTATGGAAGTTCATCTTGTTTGCCTCCAAGTCTTGGCAATTATGAATAAAGTTGCTATACACATCTGTGGGTAAGTTATTCCATGGGCATAAGTTTTCAGTTCCTTTGGGTAATTATCAAAGAGTATGATTGCTGGATCATATGGCAAGAATATGTTTAGTTTTGTAGGAAACTGCCAAACGGTCTTCCAAAGTGGCCGCACCATTTTTCATCCTTACCAGGATTTGGTGTAGTCAGTGTTTTGGATTTTGGCCATTCTAATAGTGGTATCTCACTGTTGTTTTAAGTTGAATGTCCCTAATGACATATGGTGTTCAGCATCTTTTCATATGATTATTTGCCATCGGTACGTCTTCTTTTGTGAGATGTCTGTTCAGATCTTTTACCCAATTTTTCAATTGGGCTGTTTTCCTATTGTTGTTTTAAACGCTCTTTTTAGGTATTGGATGCCAGTCCTTTGTCTGGTACGTATTTTGCAAAGATTCTTCTCCCAGTCTGTGCATTCTCTTAAAACTCGTTTATCTTTAATTATTTAACCTCAACATCACCATCCAGCTAGTTTAAAGTCCTACCGAGCTTCAGTTTGATAGCTATGAAAAAGTTTGAACAGTTCGGACTCTCCCTTCCTATTCACCAGAGTCGTCTCGCGGTCGGTTGCATTCGTAGACGGCATCGAGTCATCACGCCCAGCAGCAGCTCAACCTCAGACCTCACGTTCTTAAGCGGGATCATCGCTGCTATCATCTGAGTGTCGGCCCGAGGCCGGTCCCACTTGGCTGGGTCTCGGGTTGCTGATTGGAGCGGCCGACATTTCTGCTGACTGGAGTCATGCTATCTTTGCCAGTTTGCTGGAATAGACACAGACACCGATTGGGTCAGGCTGAAGACATTCCTGTCTTGTGAAGCAAGTCTGTTTGTATTTTAGGTTTGCCAGGACTAATGAATTAAAACATTTGGACTCTCCACAACTTGCTGTTTATCAATGCCTCTGACAGGAGGAGGGTTTTCTTTTGCTCTGGCTTTTTCTAGAAGCATGACAACATCCTGGCTGTTGGGAGAGGCAAGGAAAGGAGAGAGGGGTAGTGGAGGGAAGTGGAACAGGGAGGCCCCGTGGGACGCCGGGGTCTGGGGGACAGCAGGTAGCAGCGAGCTGACCTCACAGCTGTCACTGCTCCTCAGACTGTCAGGGGCTGCTATGCGGCAGGTGCAGCCTGCTCTCTTACTAGGTCTCTACTCCACAAAGGCAGCGACCGGCCAAGGCAGTGGCTGGCCCTGGATTACACAAGTGCAGACACTCCACTAAGTGAGGTAAGGCAACAGGTGTGAAAACCCAACTAAACACTCAGAGCACCAGCAACTTAACCAAAGCTCTGCTGCAGTCGAGAGGAGGGATCAGTGGCCCGTTTCCCCAGGCGGTGTGATGAAAAGGCAAGTGGGTTTAGGGGCTCTTGTGGCTGACACCGTGTGGAACTCAAAATCCACCCAACTTTGCCACTGCCATCCTTTGGGAGGCAGACAGATGTTCCCTGTTGTGTGGAGGGGAGGGGCTCTAATTAGCTGTGTTCGTCAATTCCACTTCCCGTTGCTGGAAACCCGACCAGAGGTCTATTTGCAAAATCCCAGAGGCCAGTTTCCACCTCTTGTGGTTTATTTCTTGGTGCAGGAAAGCACTGGGAGATTTAGCCAAAAGAGGGGTGAAGCTTTTCATCCTCAGATGTTATGATAAAATGGTTTGGTGATGGTACAGGGCGTAACAATAAGACCTTTTCTTTTGGTTACAACTTTACGGGGATTTTTATTGTTTGTTTTGTTAAATTTGAGACAGTCTGTTCTATTCCCTAGGAACAGGTGGCTAACGAGATGGTTGATTCTAAGCAGACGAGACTACACAGCAATGTATGTCAGAGCTAAGATAAAACCAATTTTGAGTCAAGTAACAGTGATTTTATATTACCCTTTTCTAGAGTCGAATGTTTCATGTTAATACTTTTTTTTTTCTAACTTAGACTGACGTGACTTAAGTGCTTTATGGTTCATTGCTACTTGTAGTGTTAAATGAATGGGCCAAATATGATTCTAACTGGGTGATAAACAGTTGCTGGTTTTTCTCCAAAGCTATACTAGGTGTTTAACATAAACTTGTTCTCTTTTCAAATACTGGGTGACTCTACATGTACATATGTCTAAATATGCATATGTGTGTGTGTGTGTTTGTGTGTGTGTGTGTATGCCTTTGCTTTGGTGCTATAAATGTAAAAACAAAATTCAGTGTTCTAGACACTATTTTTAGATAGAGAAGTTATGGGAAAGAATCAGAAACCTTGCTGTGAGAAAATGTCCTGATGAAACAGTTCCCAGAATCTCGCTCAGGATGGTTAAAGGGATGATTTACATTTTACCATTTTTAGAGACATTTTCCTTGAAATGTCATTAGAGTTTTTGGTTTACTGTCTCCATGAGAGGGAAAGTAGAGGGTTTAGGGGGAGCATGACTAAAAATAGAAAAGTTAAATATATGTGTTTAAATGACAAAGATATCACGTATTTATAATAATATCTTTTCCTAGTCGCATTGAAAAAATTATCAAACATCTAGGCTAAAATATATTTGGGCTAAATTATCTTATTATAACAAAGAAATATTCATGTGTTTTTCCTCAACCAGCCCATCTTCTCTGTAGCATGTCTTTCCATTAATTCTATTGTAGTTTATTAATTAAATGGTGATTTACCATGTGGGGTAGAACAACAATGAGATGCTTTTAGGATCTGTCTTTTTCTTTTGCTTATATCATACACTGTTAAGATGTACAACCTTAGAAATGTTTGAAAGGTTATCAGATACGTAAAGCACATACTATTCGCAACATAACTGTGGTATGTTTAAAAATATTTTTTGATATTTTTGAAATAATTCCATGATACTCATTTGTTACCACTCCCAGATCAATAACTCGGGTCCATTTTAGGCTTTTGAGTGTGAAAAGCTGTCTGATGCTTTATTAAGATTTCTTTATCCTCCTCAATTAAAAATAAAACATTGTATAAGAACTCAAAGGGCCAGGGTTGAACTGGTCAGTGTGAAAAGATATTAAAAAAGTGAGGTGGATGGAGATTTTGCTCCACCTTTTCTGTTTCATTCTAGATGTATTTCCAAAGCAAATGTTTTTCAAGCGAGAAGAGTTTTAAGTGCAGCAGGTGTAGGGAAGGAAAGCTAGGAGCCGGGAATGTCTTTAAAATAAGAAAGCAGTGTGTCCTAACTTTCCCCTCTAATTTCCAAAAGCCTCTGAGTATTCGAGGGATGATGTTGGGTAAGGTGACAATGGCTCTCTCTCCTGTCCTTATAGCTGGAAGACCCAGGGGAAGGCCAAGGCTCAGGTGCCCACATGATCAGCACCGCCAGGGTACCTGCCGATCAGCCAGTGCGCATCGCCTTCAGCCTCGATCATGCATCAGGTACGCTCCAATCTGATGGCTGGGGCTACCCCCGCCCCTTGCCTGCTGCCTCCTTGTCGTCCTCTTTTCTAGCTCCACAAAGGGCATTTAAAAATGCATGCCTGGCATGACCCCATGGTGGGGAACGTGATTTTTCATCGTGCATTGTTGGGGTGTGGCTTTCAGAAACGCCTCTAGTGATGCTTCTGTCTCCAAACCTTTGGTTGTTTGAGCACGTTTCTTCTTCTTTTTTACCTTCTCCGTGTTCATTTTCTTTTATTATAAAATTCACCGAGCTGTCACAATTTCTAACGAGAGCAAACTACGGCATCATTAAAAAAGCTGCGCGAGGAAACGTTTAAGAGCTGGCAGAAGCTTAGGTAATATAAAAATATCCCTGTCCTGGGTCCGGCAGCATTTCCTGAAGCCTAAGTTTCAAATGCTGGTTTCTCACTGGTGCTCCACACTTCCGCCTGAGTCAGCAGACTTCAGCTGGAGTGATGAACGGGACAGGTGAGGCGGGCCCCCTGGAAATAGTAAGGCCTGAGGTGAGCTGCAGTACTTAGGGCCCTTTGTCGTGGCTTCCTTCAGTGGCCTCTTAACACACAAGCTCAGTGGCCCACCTTTAATGGGGACCTCAGGTGGTGTGAGGCCACAGTGGTGAGGAAGGGAAGGCTCGGATCTCTTCCACTGGTGTCAGCTTTAGCTCTCAGTCTAATGTCATCTGTTAAAAGTCACACATAATTGCACACTCGAACAACGTTACCATCGAAACCTTGGGTCTTCTGAGGGTTGATTCTTTCTTTCTTTCTTTCTTTCTCCCTTTCTCCTTCCCTCCATTACTTCCTTCCTTCTTTTTTCTTTCTTTCCTTCCTTCCTTCTTTTTTCCTTCCTTCCTTCCTTCCTTCCTTCCTTCCTTCCTTCCTTCCTTCCTTCCTTCCTTCCTTCCTTCCTTCTTTCCTTCCTTCCTCCCTCCCTCCTGCCCCTCTCCCTTCCTTCCTTCCTTTTATGCTCTGGTAGGAAGGAGAGCTCTAAAAATTAATAGTTGCAAAGGGACAGGTTCCTCCCCTAAATAAGGCAAAGGAAGGATCCGGGCTCTGTGAAGTCTGACATTAGCCAGCCCATTCAGCCTTTACTATACCAGGTGACTATGGTGGTGGCCCCTCTGCCGTGGGGTTCCTGGACTGTGCAGCCCCCAGTGGAGGAGTTGTCCTGGAGTGGGAAGAGGGGAAGCCTTGACTTCTCATCATCTGTTCTTCCAGCACGCTTCCCACTGCCACTGTTGTACTAGATTTCCACTCAGGTTTGCCTTGAAAGACAGTGGTGGAGGGAGATCCTCCCAACCGGCGAAGCAACCATCCCAACACAGACACAACTACCGTTAACTGTGCTTGTCTTTGCGTTAGGTCTTCGTTTATATTATTTCTAATCTTTAAGATAACCATGCAGTTTAGGCATTAGTATTCCCAATCTGCAGAGACAGAGGTCAAGATCCAGAGAGCGCACTGTTGTGAGTAACAGGGTTATGATTTAAACCCACGTCCCTAGACTTGACTGTCTGAACTCTCCATTACCCTCTGCTGCATCTCTAAGGAGAAAAAGAAAACTGTGAGTGAAGGGAGAGAGAGTATGTGAGAACTCTCTGTACTTTCTGCTCCATGTATCTGTAAACCTAAAACTGCTCTAAGAAATAAAGTCTATAATTAAAAACAAAATGAAAAACAAACCAAAAAGAAAAGCTCCATTTGTTTTCATGCATTTCATAAATGCAAGATGTTGAGGAATGATCAGTGCTTGAGTGGCTGGCCCTCAAGACAGACACATGTAAGCCCAAAATCCAGGGAGAAAGATGACGTATAATTTTCTTCCTTGTGTTTGTGTCCCACACGAGCAGAACAAGTCCTGTTACAATCAACAGCATTACAAAGAAAATTTAGTATATAAATCTTATTTATTCCAAACAATATTATTTATATCATAATTTTGGGTGAGATAAATAAATGTATTGTTTCCTCATCTTCACTTTAACAGAATTTAATTTCGTGCAGAAAAGAGCCTTGGAGAGGTGTATCTTACTCTTTGGGTTGCATGAATAGACTCTTCCTTGAGGTACAAGATGTACAACTTGTAACTAAGTTGCCACCATCCCTTGATCCCTTTTGGCCCCTGACTGGGAACTCCTGCATGCTTTTCATCAGTCAATTTAGATTGATTTGTTCCAGTCTCTTTCGAATGTCCCAAGAATGCCCACTTCTGAAATTCAGGTTTTTTGGGACGGTAGTAGCTTCAAATAAGAAATGACATGTATTTCAAGTAATTCCTGACCTCTAGCTATACAAAAAAGGTGCTCAGGAAGCCTTATGAAGAAACTTCCAAATTTAAATTCTATTTAATGATCAGTGTGTCTCCATAGTTCTAGAAAGAGCGCCCAACTGGAGAACCCAAGGTAGCAGCTGGGGTTCTGTGTTTCTCAATCTTTCTTAAAATAATAACCTGAGAGCACCTATCCAAAACATACGTTCCATGCCCCTCCTCCACTGTAGCAGGCTCACAGCAAGGCCCAGCAGTCTGTCTTTCCCATGCACCTGAGGTTACGAGTGCACAGAAAGATGCTTCGCAGATATTTGGGGACACTCCCTCTGAATTCTTGAGTAAGGAGTGTGTGGAGTGCCACAGCAAGCAACACTTGCCATCACACACATTGTTCACGCCTTTTGAATTCCAGTGCCTATGCCTACAGACCGCACATTTAGGGGGAGAACAAAGGAAAACATCTTAGACTTTCATAATAAATGAGAAAACTAAGATAGACTCTTCGGGAGTAATTCTATATTATTGACTTTATTGTTGGAGAGTAAGCAGAGTCCGTGAGAAAGGAGAATTCTTTGCTTGTGAATGTTGACTTTTCATTTCTTATGAGTCTAACAGTGCTTATTCCTCCAATTAGGTTAGGGCCATTTTTTTTGGGGGGGGTGCATATTTTTCTGAGATGATTTGGTGTCGAGGTTAAGGGCATAGGGCTTTGGAGTCGGTGAGCAGCGGTTTCCAGACCCATTTCCATCACTGTTTTTTCGCTCTTGGGTAAGTCACTCAACATTGCTAAACTTCAGTTTCCTATAAGATTTGTATAGTAATAATTCACAAAGTTGTTGTAAGAATTAAATAACACTATGTGGGTGAAGCATTAGCATAGCACTTGACACAAACTGGGGACTCAGCTAGCTGCTGTGTTTATGGTGATTGATTCTGGATTACTATTTTTTTTTATTGAAGTATAGTTGATTTACAACGTTGTGTTAATTTCTGGTGCATAGCATAGTGATTCATTTATATATATATATGTATATATGTATATATATATATACACACACACACATATATATATTCCTTTTCATATTCTTTTTCATTATAGGCCATTACAAGATATTGAATATAGTTCCCTGTGCTATACAGTAGGACCTTGTTTATCTATTTTTTGTATAGTAGTGTAGTTTACAAATCCTGAACTCCCAATTTATCCCTTCCTGCCCGCTTTTCTCCCTGGTAACCTTAAATTTGTTTTCTGTGTCTGTGAGTCTGTTTCTGTTTTGTAAATTTGTGCCCTTTTTTAAAAAAAGATTCCACATATAAATGATATCATACAATATTTTTATTTCTTTCTCTGGATTACTTCACTTAGTATGACACTCTCCAGGTGCATCCATGTTGCTGCAAATGGCATTATTTTATTCTTTTTCATGGCAGAGTACTATTCCACTGTGTAAATTATACCACAACTTCTTTATCCTGTTAACTGTTGATGGACCTTTAGGTTGTTTCCATGTCTCAGCTATTGTAAACAGTGCTGCTGTGAACATTGGGGTGCATGTATCTTTTTGAATTAGAGTTTTCTATGGGTATATGCCCAGGAGTGGGATTGCTTGATCATACAGTAAGTCTATTTTCAGTTTTTTAAGGACTCTCTGTACTGTTTTCCATAATGGCTGAACTAAACTACATTCCCACCAACAGTGTAGGAGGTGCCCTTTTCTCCACACCCTCTGATTCTGGAGTATTAAGGAAAGTAAAACCCTCTGAGCAGCTCTGTGTTTCACCAACATCTCACACTTCTACTTCCTGTCAAGATGGGGCAGGTATAACTGTAGTTCTGCTATACTAAATGGCACTTGTTTAGGGACTAGTTGTCCAGTTGGTGCATGGTGAGTGTCCCTGCTTCTGCTCTTATCCATTAGCTGAGGTTTACTTAGTGTCTACGTCTCTACACTTGGCCACAGGCTGGTGGGATGTGCAGAAGGGAAGGGCATCTTGATCATGATCTCTCCAATGGGTTTTATAAGTCAAAGACATTTGGGGGAAAAATCGGTGTCACCCAGAGGGGAGGGGAACAGTTTCTTGGAAGATGTGACACTCATCCTGGGCTTGAGAGCAGGTAGGGCATAGAAAAGATGTGTAGGAAAGGTACCATTTCTAGATACCAGGTATAAAAGAAAAGGAAGCTATACATCTTTTAACAATTCCTCTTCCTTTTCCCTTCGAACAGAAAGTATGAGCCAAACCCAAGAGTCAGAGTGCGATCTGTTCAGGAAATACTAAAACTCTCTTCAGCAGGAACAGAGGTCTGATCTGTGGAAGAATAACATGCTATTTCCTGAGCCCTTCTTTGAGCCAGGCATTGTGCTGGAGTCCTAAGTAGACTGTCTCTTCAGATAGCAGTAGATTAGAGTTGCCAAGCCAATCTTAAGTGTTCGATGAAAGAGTTTGGATTTGATCAGAAGCAATAGAGTGTCAAAAGTTCTTGAACAAAGGAGTAATATGATGAAAATGGTAAGCGTTCAGTTGGTGAGAGAGTCTGGAATGTGGAGAGATGAGAGAATGGAAGAGCCTTTTTATCACGGTGCACAGGGAAGGTGATTTGAGCATGGATTTGAGAATGGAATGGGATGACTGAATTCAGAGTACATTTTGAAGGAAGGGTTGAAAGGACTTGGTGACAGACAACCCTGGGAGATGGGAGATGGGGA